CGCGGGTGGCGGAGGCGCGCGGGCGCGTGGAGCGAGCCGACGAGGCCATGAACGAGGCGCAGGTGCGGCTGCTGGGGCTGCGGCGCGCGCTCGACGCGCTGCTGGCGCGCGAGGGCCAGCTGCACTTCCGACTCGAAGAGATGCTCAACGCCAGGCGCAGCCACAAGGTGTGCATGCACTCGCTCTTCTTCTTTCATTTTCAAACATTTTTTTTCTGAAAAAAGGGCTCCAATTTATTTCTTTAAATTTTCTCCTTGTATGTATCTAAGGATGACATAAAAAGAGGTGCATTTTCGGTGAACTCTGTATTTTCGAAATTTTTTCGAAACAATATTTAAAATAGAGATTTAAAAAGGTATACAAAAATATGACTTTTCAAAAAAACACATATGTAATTCAGTTAATCTTAAACGCCTGAAAAAATTGAATCCAATTTCTGATTTATTGACAGAATAACATAAACTCGCTACACTTTATGCAAATTTCCTCCTCGTATGTATCAAAGGATGCAATTGCATGTAATACAATTGCATGTACTATGCTTATTGTAAAGCTGCAGCAGAAGACTGTGATTTTCAAAGCATAAAAATTCGTATTTAGTGTCTCTGATACCGAAAAATGGATAATTCTTGCCGAATAAATTGATAATTATGGGAAGTAAAAGATTTCCTTTAATACGCTGTAGTGTACATAATGTACAATATTATGTATACTGAATATTATCAGAATTCCGTTTCGTGGGCCCTTGATTCTGAAAAATTGATTTATAAAAAAATATCTGTAGGACCGTCTGTTTGTCTTTCATTCCGTCTGTCTGTGAACAACGCTAGCAGCTAAACCATAAGTAGAATTTTCACCAACATTTCTATTGATATTCCCATATTCCCTGATAGACCTCGCTGATGTGATGGCCTGTTGAATTTCAAACGTAAAGTTTGATTTTGGAGGTACGAAGCACCAACGACATTTTCAGACATGGTTTTCAATATTTTTCTTATAAAAGTACGCTTATAAAAATGGCTCAAATACGATTTCATACATTCAATTCTAATACTTATGGACTTCAGAAGTTTGAGAACAGGGTGCAACTTTCACGTGGAGTTTTCACAAGGAATTATCAAGTTTTGAAGCAAACTAATGATACTGGTTGATAGAGGAAGATGGGACAACTATTGTTATTCAAAAAATATCTCTTTCATAAATTTGGACTTAGTTTTGGAAATGATTACTCAAATATTCCTCTTCATTATGTATAATTTTCATTTATCAAATCTGGTGATTAATCACATTTACACATATTGTCCACTTTTGTTTTTCATGATGAACTCCGTCTGGTCTAATTGTGAACAAAAAAGTATGTATCATGTCATCCCATTCATCATCAACCTTCATCCTAATTGTACTATAAATTTAATTTGTTCTGAAGAAACTATCGCTAGGGTGGTAAGAAAATACATTGCATAGCATCAGAATAGTTTTTTAACTTTCACATTACTGCTGGACAAAATAAAATTAAAAAACAAACAGAAATTCTTGAAATTATGTATAGATTGTTGGTTTCTGAAACAATATCATTTAATGTCATCAAATGTCTCTCTGTTGCAGGTCCGAGCGGACGCAGTCTTCGAGGGAAGAGAGAAAGCAATGAAACATGTAGAAGAGATGAAGAGCAGAAGTAAGGAACTCGAGACAGCGATAAACGAGGCCCGTAGCCAACTACAGGCTCTGAAGACAAAAAGCGAGGAAGCACCTGCTCCCTCTGTGGCCACTAGCGTCGCGAATGTTGCCGGATTGAATTACATCAAGAGTGTGAAGACTGCGTCGGGGAAGGGTAAGAAAATAAAACTAATTTTGCTCTCCGACTAAATAAACGCAGGCTCAGGGACGGAGCGATCATGATGCAAGCAAGGATCGTAGCGAACGTGATGCAAATAAAGCTTTTTTTGACAACTTGGATCACGCGTGCAATCTGCAAGTGCCTTTGTTTGTGTGTGTGTGTGTGTGTGTGTCAGTATTTTAGCTGAAACCTGATTTTTATACCGCAGTGTTGTTAGCCCTGAAGGTATGGACGATGAAATAATGAAGATGGCGAGGGATGAAAGAACAGCACACACATATAGACGTACACGCGGCACTACTGCCCTAACGATCTCGTTCATCTGACCGGCTAAATAAAGCTTATATTGGAAAAAGAATCATATTTTTAACCTTAAAAAGGCTACATGAGTGAAACATGGGGCGTGGATACATGGGGCAATATGTTACCCCAAACTATAGAAGCCAATTACGTAGTATAAGGTTACTAAATATTTGTTTGAAATAAACAACAAATTAGATTCACTTGTAATGAGCTGACATTGCATGAAAAACACATCTCGACACGTTCTTGGAAGATAGTTTAAAAAAAAATTTTTTTAGGCAGCTTTTTGACTACGGGGTCATGTAGCGATATCTTTATCCTCTGGAGTAATGGGATAACTGTAAGGGGGAAGACGACACGTAAGGATAACACAAACACAGACACATAAAACCATACCCGAGGCGGGCCTCGGCCACGATCACGCGATCTTTCCGTTCTCCACTCCACTGCGGCCTTAGCGATCTCGACTATCCGGATCGACGAAGGTGGGTTCATGGCATTCAAAGCTTGCATTCTTTCAGACCCTTTTGTACTTTGCACAGGCGTGTGCAGGGAGATCAGGAATCACCTTAAAATGTCGACATTTGACATGTAGCCCAATATAATAAAGTATTCCATTTTTCTAAATTTAATAATTTCTGATTATTTCTATTTTAAAGACGACCCATTGGGTAATTGATAAATGACAATTGGAAGAGAAGCTCTCCAAACTATCTGGCAACTCTGTAATAATCTAAATGTCAAAACAATTGTATTTATTTTTCAATCAATTGTATTAATTATATTAAAGTTATATTATTAGTCTCCTATTAGTGTGTTTATTTATTTACAGGTAAAATGGTAATGATAAAACACGTTTCATGGAAATATAAGTCGTATCGATACCGATAAGGGGTTTTCCATAGCGCAACGTAAGGCAACATCGAGACTAATGTACTTCCTACTTGCCCCTCTTGTTGTAGGATACGCACACTTGTTCGCTGGTCTTTGACCTTGGGCACACATTCCATCTCAAGCATTGAATTATTTCTTTGTTCGTATGCTGATTTATACTTTTGTGAGAGGGCATAGCCATCAACACAGTCTTCAAGACAGAGGAAAATACCCGAATTTGATTATTGAAGGGAGAGAAAAATACGTACATACGTACCTCATACACGCATGAAGGGGTATTTCGTTATCCCAACTTGGCTCTAATTTCTTATACAAAAGTGTAAGCACACATTCTATACACGAACCCTAACTTCGAAAGAGAATACAAAATTTCACGATAGCCACTTATCATCTACGAAAGCTGCTAACTAAAAACAAAAGATGTGGGGGTAACAAATTATAGGGATAAGGCTAATAAACGTGTTATATTTATATGACAACTAAATTGCTTTTCATCTTTTAGTATTAGTAAATGCGACGCTAATTCTGTGTTCATTTCTCGATTGGCAACAAACGAAATACGTTAATGCGAGAGACAAATGTTTTTTGCATGAGCTCTTTTAGGAAGCAACATTGGAAATGTCACTTTAAATAACTGCTTTCATAACTTCTAGTAAGGTCATGGTTATTGCCTTACGGGCTGCATTTAAAATTCCTGCACAAAATTTGACGCAAGCTGTTGCTTGAAGCTCACTGCCAGTGAGTCACTGGCTAAACTCGCAGAGGCTGGGCAATAGCACATCCTTATCCTTGCATCACTGTAGCGATAAAAAATATGTCGTAGCGATACCAACTGATAAGGGGTTTTTGCATAGCGCAATGTGAAAATCTCGAGACCAATAGCGTGAGAAGTCAAGAAAGAGGTTTTCAAACGTTTAGATCGAAATGTAAATATTTACAAAGTGTGGCAGTAGAATGTGAATTCTCATAATGCCACATCCTCTTAATTCGCATTTGTTTGAATAGTTCTGGCCATCAACCACTGATCTATATAAGATCGATATTATATTTACTGATATTATTAAATTAAAGATCGACATTTTCTAAATTGATATTATGAAATAAATATATCGCCTAATAGATAGATTACATGTATATACAGATTGCACTTTTCCCGTAACACGTCAGTTTTAACTTTTTTGGACGTTAATAAAATAATGCCCTCAACATTATTATTATTATTTTTTGTTTTTTGTTATTCAAGGTCGCATCAACTACTAGGTCATTAACGACCACTACTGCTTTTAACGGTATGGTAACTGTGGGTTGACATGGTAATGATGATGATAGGGGGTGAAAGGAGGAAACACAATACAACCATGCCCGAGGCGGGACTCGAACCCGCGATCCTTCGGTCCGAGTTCGCTACGGCACTACTGCCTTAGCGATCTCGGACACCGGATCGGCTAACATGATGCTGCATCATGGGGAAATAGAAGTAGGTAACACTGCAGGAAAATGGCTAGCGAAGCCAGAGTTGGGAAAAAATCCTGTAGAGCATGGCCGAGTGATCGATTAGCATGCGATGTAAGGCACCAGATAAATCCGGGAAATGCGGGATCCGCTATGAAAATTTTTCTCCTGAAAATTGTATTAATGCATGGTGTCATGGGAGACAGGAACAATAGGCACTTACCTAATTATCACATCTCAGTGCAGTTGGAAGTGCTTCTACGTTTCAATGCACCAACTGTTCAACGACTTCACAATGAAAAAATCTTACGTTTTATCAGAAACAGTATTTTTTGTATTCTATATGAAAATTTGTAAATGAAATATACTTGCTTATGTGCATGGCATAACCTATTCTTGCCATAGTTGAAACCCTACGTGGAAATATAAGAAAATATTAATTTAATATTTCGTTGTATTTGCCATATAGGAGAAGTCGAGCAAAAGGTCATATTCGAACCTGCTTGTGATTGGGAATTCGCCCGTTAGATCTCGGCAGACACAAAAATGTGTTTATGTGTTGAAGAACGCGCTTGTGGCGCCTAGCGGAATTGAATTCTTAGATCGACTGTTCTGATTCGTCGTTTCCCTGAAGGCCCATTCACAATGCAAACGTAAACATAAGCATAGCGCATTGACATAAACATTAACGTTAGTGATAAACTGAAGTACTTACAATGTCTAACATAAACGTAAGCAAAATAAGAGTTCCTATTGGCTGTGAGACATTCTGGTTTACAATTGGTTGGATGTGACAATCGATTTCAAGGTATCGACTGTGGCCATTGCCAATATGGCGTTACTTCTTCTATAGACTTCGATCCAATTTCGATTCTCGATTTTGAGTTACCGTTCTGTGATTGGTTCATTTCTTATGTCTTACTTAAGCATAAGCACAGAAGCTTGCAAGCTTTTAAGTTAACGTCTTACGTGTTACGCTTATGCGAACGCATTGTGAATGATTCCCCTTGTGGACGTAGTAATAACTTTTTTGTTAACGCCATGCTTATGTTTATGTTTGCATTGTGATTTTTGCTCGTAAGAAGGTGCTTTATTGCTCGGAAGAAGATGTCGGAATAACACTATATAGAAACCTTTCTCCTCTCCCCCTTTCCGGAGTGGGAGGCGTTGGCACATCCCGTTCCATTCCCCTCATAACCCACATTCACAGGCAGGAAAGAGCCCAACAACCACAAATGGATTCAATCAAGTATAGATAAATATATTTGTTATACTTTTATTACCAATTTACCATCTTCATTTACAAGAAAAAGAAGCAGGACAAATTGCAGATCGTATGAAAATCAGAAATAGAGCAGACACATGCCTGAAATGAGTTCCTAAATTTTAAAGAAAATTCGTAAAGTCCTGCATTGCGCATCTGTTTGTCAATGGTCCTGTCACTTACCCGATGCGGTGGGATGGTATACACTTCTCTGAATGATATAGTTGGGGTTGTCCATATTTGGCAATGGTCCATTTGCCTTCTTGGACAATGCTACTAATGGCTTATATACATCTTAACATCTGGGTCAATGACCATCGTCTCCATCAAGATTTCCGTCCAGGTTTTTTGCTTGTTCTATTTATTGTTTTAAATTGAACTATATTTCTGACAAACAAAATTTTATCGATTATCGAAAGAACAAGTCCTTTAAAATTGTGGTCAGCAGTCGTTTTATAATTTATTTTATTCCGTATCCAATTTTAAAGGGACCGATTCTTTCGAAAAAAAAACAACAACCAATAATACAGTATTCAATTATACAAAAAATATCTTCATGGCATACGGCAGCTCCTCCCCGGCTGTCTCTCTCAATGTTTATCGCTGATCTTCCAGAAAGTGTCCTTACTTGCGTTCATTTGCTTAGAATTTGCTGCTTATTTGTATTCCAGCAATGCAAAGACGTCATTACTGCTGTATCATTTTCGTGGTGTCTATGATGAAGACAATAAACGTATGAAAAAGTGACTCATCTAAAAAATTATCATTTTGAAGCGGGAACTTGAGCGGACCCGTTGAAGAAGTGTATCATTCTGCTAATCCGTGAATAAACTTAATGTCATTTTTACTAGTAAAATAGACTATTTTCTTAAAACGTGTAGCTATAAACTAAAAATGTATGATATTTACTAATGTCACTTTCTCACAAATGAACACATTGTTTTAAAAATTGTTTCTGAAGAAATGTTCTAAATTGACAACTAAATTGAAGGCGTTTTTTGGTTTAAAGGTGTGTGTATTTTACCAAGGAAAGAAATATTTTAAAAAAAATTAGAAGAAATGGATTTAGTATTGTGAATTGAAAAAAAAATTATATTTTTTCATCTTTTTCCATTATTTAGTGAGTTTAGTTTTTTTCCAGAAATTTTCGACAATCAAAGAACAATTCAAGAATGACTTACAAATTGATAATTATAAATAACGTTAAAGGTCTTTACGTTGCATACATATAACTAATATTAATGTGAAATTTGGAAAGGTAGTTTTGTAAATAAAATACCTAGAGAAAAATAGTAATGATAAAAAAAGTGTTTCTAGTACTTTCGAGAACATTAAACACGCATTCAGTATTTGACGTATCCTATAGAACACACGAGGACGCTCAAGTATTGCCATCACTAATATTTTCTGAAATACAGAATATTAGAATTATAACTATTAATTAATACACATTATGTTATAGAATGACAACATTGCGAAAAAAGGAAAGTAGATAACACAATTTCTGTGTTATCATTTGAATTATCAAAACGGTAAGTATAATACATTAATTGGCATTATTTCTCAAATACTGAGGCTTCAGTGTTCTCATTTCGTGCCCTTCTGAGCACGGAGTCCAAGGCTGGTGACTACTTTACGAACAATATTCAATTTTCCGAAAAATTACCGTGGCTCTTCAACAATCACAAAGAGAAAAAATATTTTTCACTTGAAATTCTTTCATTTCAGTAGGTTGAGATCACTTGCTAACTAGCATTACTGAAGCAACACTTATCTTTATTACTAATTTTCAATGCTCACAGAAGTAAAAAAAAAACTATCCA